AAACGAGTGCTTATTTACATACAAATCAAAACATGTATTCAAAGGCAAGCAACTCAATTTAAACCTTATTTGCATGCACCAAACGGGACGCCTGATCTGCAAAAACTTTAATTTGAGAGAAAAATTCTGAAAAAAAATTACTTTTACGTTCATTCAAATATTTATGCAGTAGTAAAATGCATTGTAAAATGTTTCAGTGCTGAAATTAAAAAAAATCAATTTGATTTTAGCAGAAAATGTTAATATATTTTCTAGCGTCATAATTTTTAGATTTTTCATGATGACGTCATTGTCACGTGATTTTTTTCGAAAAATTCGAAAGTTAAATTTACTTGCAAAAATATACATCAAAGTACCAACATGTTACAACAGTAGCTATGTTAGCTGATTACATTTTGGGAAAATAATAGCCAAAAACGCAATTCAATGAATTGTTTTTTCTATCATCTAGACTTCCCTTCCATAGTTTATAATGGTCGACTCCTTGGTAACAAGTGAAAGGTCACCTGACTACCTGACACATAAAGCCCAGTCTTTTACCAGTATATCCACATATGTCATACAAGTAGGACATTGTCTGTCGTGACTGATACGGGAACCTATATACGCTTGTAAGCTGTTGAATGTAAAACACAGGTAGGTAACAAAAACAGAGGTCTAATACTTTTTACAAACTTGTAGACAGTGAGTACAATGAGTAAGATGGTTTTTAAATTTAACTATTTTTCAGCAGACATTAGTACAAAGTGAGTGGGTGTGGAAAACTATATAAATATTATACTTATACTGAACAGACTGAATTGTGTAACAAATGCGACCGGCATTCTTACATTGTAAAGGAACATCCAATGCCTGTATCTCGCATGAAACAAATATTTATGTTATCTCTAGTTTATAATAACACAAATATAAAATATGCAATGATTGCGAGAATTGTATTCCAGATTTCTAAGAATTGTCTGCACATACAAGGAAATACTTTACATAACAAAAGCAGCCATCTTGAAAAGTTAGTTCACAAGTTTGTGACCTGTGAAACTTTAGCACTGTGTTTGTGGCTTATTTCTCTACAAAAAGTTGTCTTGTACTATGTTTTCTTAGTTGTTGTGTAACAGCATTTCAAACAAGATGTTAAATTTAACACTTCTGATAACATAATCCAAGAATGAAAAACTTATATCGAAACCCCTCTTTAATAGCGAAACCTACATGTAGTGACACTTGGTAATAAATACAACAGACATAGACATTTTGTATAGTTTTTTGTTGCATTTTAAAACTATCATTCCATGTGGGATACCCCGGCATACATTGTATACATTTTCTAAAGACAGGTCAACACAAGAATAACACACACCAATAAATACTGTATTTGTCCGACTCATGTTTTTTAGTGGGTGGGCATATTTTAGACAAATTTGTGGTTAGTGTGTCTGTAGGTCTGTGTGTGTGTATGTCTGTTCCACTGATATCTACAGAATGGATTATCAAATTAGTGCATAAATGCTTTGGGATAATGCTCAGTTTTTTTTATTGAAGTTATTGCATATTAATTACCTAATTTGCATATTAGCCAATTTTATTAATTTTCACTTGTTTTCCAAGTACCATTTAACAGATTACAATGATTTGGTACATATATGTTCTTGGATAATGCACAAACCTGATGTTTTTGATTGAAATACATGCATATTAATGACCTAATTAGCCGAATTTTAGTTTTTCCACCAATATATCAACCACTCATGGTTTATACATGTTTAGGGTTAGATTACATGTATGTGCTTAACAATTACCATATCTGCATAAATTAACCAATTCCACAGATAGAGTACTATTTATCAAATTTCAATGAAATTTTGTTCAGACAATAGCAGGTCTGTTGTCAAAATAAAATATACTTCAATGATTTCCAAGCTTTCTTTGATTACACGCTTAGTTTAATGTTAATCAGTTCTTCAATTGCTTTATGCAAATATATTCTATGTCAACCTATTCCCATGGCACAACGAGTGAAATCATCCAAAGTCACATATCTGTTTGTATTTAAATTACTGGTGATTGAATATAATGGCAAAACCACTTTTTAGTGTGTATAAAATTCATACAAGTGCCTGTCATACAAGTTAACTGGTACATCTATTATTTCGTTTACAAACATACCCTTAGAATGTTAATTATAAATACTACTTACTCAGTATTTATAAAATGTGTTATCTATAACAATGTACAATTGCTAGTGAAACTATGAGTAAATCTTAGTTTGCAAACACCCCCCCCCCACACTTAAGGGATCCCATCCCATTCAATCAATGTTTTTGTATAGACTGTCTTTTGCCAATCAGAGCCAAGTTCATCTACACACGATATGTAATGTCACACTCTCCATTGTTAGTTTCATTACTAAAGATTATTATATAATCGGTAAGACTAGTATATAATCTGCTTTCACCAGAGACACAAACACTAAAAGTGAGTTAGTATATGGCATATATGATTTCACTTCAGATTCTATAATATTAGACTTACTCTCTACTTGTGTTATTTTAACATTATATATTACAGACTATTGTCTAATCATGGCTGTAGCTGCCTTGGATGCAGTAGATGCTGGTGCTGTCTTGGCGGAGATTAATGAAGACTTCCTGTGTTGTGCTATATGTCTAGAGCGGTATTCAGACCCAAAGATACTACCATGTCAACATACATTTTGTGAGAAGTGTCTAGTACAACTAGCTGAGAAAGGAGTAGCTGATACGTTGATGTGTCCAACCTGTAACAGGTCAGTAAAGGTACCCATCAATGATCTGCAGTCTAATTTCTTCATGAGCTCACTTCTAGACAAGATACCCGAGAAACTGGTAGCTGGTACCCCTAAAGTGTGTGAATTTTGTGAAGAAAATGAAGTCACTTCTATCTGTGTTGAATGCCAACAGTATTCCTGTACATCTTGTACTAGAGTACATAAAAAAACCAAGGCAACAAAATCTCATCAGTTCTATCA